GTTTATTGTGGGCTTCCCAAATGTTTTCAGTTTTCCACCATCTTTGCCCTCTCCAGAACTCCTGAATTGTCTTTTTCTACCAGTTCCCCCAGCTTTTCTGTTCGACGGTTTTCTCATGAGTTGCCCCCACTTACTCGCAAAGGTGGGACATCACCTACTTGGGAATTCCCACACTTTGACCTGATGAATGCAAATTGAAGTCAGTACAGATGATGTTAGTGATTGCCAAGTACATATGCACTTATGAAACTTAAATTGTAAAACTACTGGGAGGTGTGTATTGAGCATAACTACCACTGTTACTTCAATGTCCTTTTTGTTTCTTGATTTCTTAAGCTTCTGTGTAAAACTTCCAAGGCTTCTTATATCTTATGCTTGAATATAGATCTAAAAGAGAAGACAGTAACCAGTGAAACATCAGCTTCTCAACTTATCTTCAGTTCTGTACGATGTTTACAGAGCAAGAGCGGATACTTTTACTCTGTTTGATCCAAACTGGATAAAGCTGAATATGCAGCCTTGATACATGCACGTATGTGTGCATATAACTATATTTTTGGTTATAAAAGTGTAGCAAGGTGTGTTTTTTTTCTTTGTTTTAATCCAAGTCCTGTATGTTACAGTCCTTTGTTTGCATTTACCCTTCATGTCTAGTGTCATCTGGCTAGCTTTCTGTAGCAATGTAATACTTTCTTTTATGTTGGAATTTTCTCTTGTTTAAAGTAGTAGGTTCCAGCCTGTTTACCATTTGCTTTGTTATTAAGTGACTATACCATGGGGAATGTCTGGGTTCAAAGTCAACCTCTGAAAGCCTGTATTACCGGAAGGGAATTACTGACTGTGTAAGCATGTCCTTATTAGTTTAGAAGTTAAATTAATGTTAAGTCTGTTTGCTTAGCTATACAGATTAACAGAAGCCACTGTTTCTTTTATTTTACAGTGGCGTTTATTTTCAACTGGATTGGATTTTGTTTATCCTTCTGTATAACAAATACCATAGCTGGAAGGTATGGTGCAATCTGTGGATTTGGTCTGTCCCTGATCAAATGGATTCTCATTGTACGGGTATGTTTCTTGATTCACGCTGTACAGATTCTGTTTGTAGAACCAAACCATAACAATTTATTCAAGGATATGTAATAAATGGAATTAAAAATCAGTATATTAAATTCCAGTGCTTAATAGAATGCCTAGAATTTTCTCTAACTTCCACCTTAGTAGAGAATTTACTTGCTATATATTCATATGTGCTTACTAATAATGAAGCTTAATCTATTTTTATCTGGCATAGCATTTTACATTCATCGTTCCACTAAAATAAATGTAGAGTGACTCATTCTTTGCAGAAATATTTAAAAGCATACAGAAGAAGTGGAGCAAGTACCTAAAATGTCGCTGGTATTATGGTATCCTATATGAAAGATTTATAAATGGCTCAGCCTACTGGGGTGGGGGGGAAATGAGAAAGCATTTCTTCTGTGTATCTGATTCTTTTATTCCTTGTAAGATACATACTGAATCAAGTCAAAAATGAAGTTAGTAACATTTTTACCATCTTAGGTGCTCAGTTTCTTGATATTTTCACTGCAAGACTAGCTACTTTTCAGAAAGGTCTGTTAGCCGAATGGAAGTTACTTAGCTGACTAAGTGGCTGCTAGATGAAATGTAATGATTCTTTTGAATTTGAATTCTACATGTTTGTGAGACACAACGTTTAAAGTCTTGTCCTGTCTAATGAAGAAAGAGATCTTGGATAACTTAGTCATCTTTTATGCCCTGCCAACTCTGATTTTTTTTTTTTATTTATTTTTATTTTTTTAATGTGTATGTGCTAGTAAGTTAACGTGTTTTGGTCTTACCACAATAATATAAGGATTTTAGAGAGATGAGATTGCATGGTACTTCCTGGACATGTACTGCATCCTTCTCAGAGCTGAGGGCAATTTGGGGGGCTGGCTTTTTTGCTTCCCCAGAGCAGGGGAATGCTACCAGACCAGATGTGATTCTGGTGTACTTGATTGGAATTCAGGGTTTGGGATGGAATTTATCTTAAGGGAACGAGAAGACATGAATTTTTCAACTATGCATTCATTGGGGATATTTTCAGCTTCCCTTGAGGCATACTAAACAGCGGGCAGAACTTGCTCATTGTGCCATTTTTATTATTCCTATCTGCTTGAAAATGTGCTCATAACAAACACAAAATTAATATATGCTGTACTTCCTTGAAGAATTACTGGGTTCTAGACTATATTTAAATTCTTGTACATGATCTGTTACTAAATTAGAGCTGATGAATTCCAAGACCTCAGGGTTGGTTTGTTTTTTCATGGTGAAGATTATCATCTTCCTCTGTTGTCTCCCTTTCTAGAGACAAGAGTAGAAAGCCCATAAGGTCTATGTCGACAATTTTGTTTTAAGGGTGACCCACAAACACCCGTGTGTGCACAAAATTGTTCTGTTCCTTTGTTTCAAGCTCCTCCAAAGGCCTGTGCTGCCCTTTCTCGGGGTCAGTAGCGCAAAACTTTATGGTGTCTGAACAGTCCGAGTTCACAATATGCTCTCTCTGTATCAGTTTTTACTTGGGGCGGGGGGGGTGGGGTGAGGGTGGAGAGGAGAACAAAAGCACAGTTTTGCTGTTGGGGAAGTTCTGCAGCCATGGCCGCTTCTGCCTAAAGAAAGTGCGAGAGTAATGCACATAAGCCAGTATTTGCTGGTTTTAGTAAATCTTCTTTCCAGTTAAATGAAATAGTAACTTTAAAAAAAGTGTATTGGTATATATGTTTAGAGAATGGAAAATACTATCAAGTGAGATGGGCTAAATAATGTTGTCAAATTCCTGGGAACTGAGTATTCATTTGATATTTTAATGAAGCGTCAAAATATGAAATACTTACTCTGCTGAATCGTAGAAATGCTAGTATTTATATAGGGGTAATGTAAGTACCAATTCTTTAGTTCAACTTAGTAATTCTGTTCCTTGATATTTTTTTCTTGGATTGCCCATAGAAATGAGTACAGTACAGGAATTTGCATTTAAGACTTTAAAGAATTCTCATGATCTGGCTTTATTCTGGAGAAAACATGTGGATCTCTGTGCACAGTTACTTGAAGAAAAAAACAACTATATCTAGAGTTCTTTAAATTTCTTGGAATTTTATCTGGTTGCGGTATCTTTTTTTTTTTTTTTTTTTCTTAAGAGTAAACTGAATTATGTGCCTGAATTACGATATTTCTTGGTTGATACTACTGAAATGGCCTAGAAATGGCGAATGGGAAGCACTGGGGCAGGATGCAGTTACCATACTGAATGGTAGTAGGATGGGAAGTATATGAAAAGTGCGCAGAGCTTCTAAATAGGTTATTTCATTCCTTCTGGCAACTTTTCACACATCTCCCCATTCCTACTTCTTATGTGAGTTTTGGAGGCATTTGATTAGCCTTTTTATCAGTGAAGCGTGCAGTCTGGAGCCTGGTAAAGGCACAGATACCTGTCTCCAATACCATCACACCCTGCCCTCCAGCTGCCTCCCACATCACAGGGCGGACAAAACTGTCTACCGTGGTCACTAACAGGAACAGTTGAAATGCCACTTCAAGGTTCATTTAGTTGCGTTCAGCTCACCGCTGGGAACTGAATGCTGGTTTGAAAATGAAAAGACTTTAATGAGTTGGGGGTCTTTATGGGGCTGGTATTCTTGGCAGCGTTTAACAGTAGGGGGTATACAGAAGGTCAAAAGCTCTTCTTTTGAGGGGTCAGCAGAACATCCCTGTCTGATAAGATTAAACTAATGTGGCTTTTGGTGTTAATATCTAAAGCAGCAGGCTGCTGTAATGTGTTTGGGATGGCAGGCATTGGGGGGAAAAAAGGAGAATTGACAAGTAGTGATTCATTATAATAGAAAATGTCAGATGGTTCTGGCAAGTAATACAAGTTTGGATTTTTACATACACGCAGATTTTTAGGGGTTTTAAAATAACTTTGCCACAGACCAACTGACACTGGAAGTGTTACTTGTATATTAAACTGCTGCACAAATACTAGGTTTCCATTTTAGTTGAATATATTACTTTTATTTAAATTTGCTTTTTCCCCTCTGTGCTTTCTGTATTTGCATAGTGCATTAAATGAATCTCTAGTCATCTGTCTTACTGCAGCTAAGCCTCATGTATGAATTTCAGTTTTCAGATTACTTTACTGGATATTTCAATGGACAGTACTGGCTTTGGTGGATATTTCTTGTACTTGGTAAGTGGCAATTGAAAACATTTCTGGTTTGATGTGAGAGTACTTGAAGATGAATCATGTCATTGTAAGTAAGAGTTCTGTTACATGCTTAGCTGTGTGTTTTTCTTTAGCTGCTGATAGTTTTGTGTGCTGTTTTTATTTCCATAGTATTCACAAGGTTATTGGTTACCATAGTGGTGGTGGTGGTGGTGTGTGAACTGCAGACTATTCAAATAACCTTCAGCTCAAAAAATTGTGTTCTACATATGTAATTATGTACCTACCTGAGACTTGTAATTTGTGCTTTTTAAGCTGCTTCTACTGATGCCGGGGTGCAGAACTGTGTAATGAAACTTAGTCTTTATATAGAGAACATACTGAAAAGTGAGTGATACTGAATGGTTACATGTATAAACCTGCATGTCAAGTATTACATTTTAAGAAATGTCACCGATCCTAGGAAAGTGGAGTCTGTTGTCTGGTACACGGGTCACAAAATGTCCTTTTCTAGTCCTTTGAAATGCAGACTGCATCAGTAGTTTCTTGGTCAGACAAGAGAATGGCTTCATGCTTTCTGATCACAGTGCTCTCATGATGCCAGCTTTCTCTGAGGCCTGCCTGCCCATGTTCAAAGTCTCATACGCATCAAATTCTGCTCTTCTTGCTGTTTTTAATTAGGATATAGCGCACCCCAACCACTATACCTTTTTTCCTACTGTGGATTTTGTAATTAGAATATGAAATCTGGAATGATTTTCTTTTACAGGAGTGCTACTATCCATTTTATTTTCTAGCTGTGGAAGCATAGTAAACTGTTGCTGGTTCAGTAGGTGGCACTCTTCCCTTGGAGTCAATTGACTCAAATGGCAAACAGCTAATGTTAGAATGAAATGTTGAGTAAATTAAAAAAAACAAGAAAAAACAACAATGCTAAATCCTGACTGCTGGTGACTTGTTTTTTATCTCACAAGAAGTGCCAGAAATCTTAAAAGATGTTACCTAAAACTTTGTCTGCCTTTTAGTAAAGTTTGAGGGCATTCATCAGACTTCCTAATACTCATCTTGCTCTACTGTTGTGCACTTGGTCGCTTGAGATACATAGAAACTGTAAATATGTCTCAGCACCAGTCCCTTGAATGCTTTCATACTCTGAGGTGATTGCATTAAAGTAGCAAGTGAAATGACTCTTTATAGGTACAAACGTCTCCAGATAAGCCTTTAATTAAAACAAAACCTTGTGGTGCCGGAAATTGGGGGGTGACACTCTTTTCACTTGGATGAAAATACTGTGTTCTTCCCCTAATGTTTTCCGCCACTATGTCTATGGAAAAATCTGTGTGTTTGTAGTTCCTCTTTTTCCTAGTCTTTGCAGCACTTGTTCAAAAGTTAGCTCACTGAGATTTAGGAAAGCCTTAGCTTCAGCATTAACTGTTTGAAGGTGTTTTTTTTTTTTTAATTTACTTTAACTCCCAAAGTTTATAATATGCTGTGGAATAACAGGCATTCATGAGGCATGCAGTATGCATCCAGCAGTCAACGTTCCCTTGTCTTACAAATGTTTTGCAAGAAATAGGCCAACAGTGTTTTTAAACTGATAAAAGTGGATATACCGAGATTGCTAGAACACCATAGAAGGATTTAACGCAACAGAGCTACTTAGCAGGACATGGGGGAGTTTTATCAAGTCATGGGAGCTCTGCCAACCAGATCTGTATTTCGTTGTTTCGGATAACTTTCCCATCAGAGCACGCGACGTAGCATGTCCTGCATCTCTTCAGAAGTGAGTGAACAGAGTTGGATTCTTTCTTTTGTGTAGTGCTTTGACATACCTGAGCCCACCTATTGCTGTCATCTTCTCTCTCTTCAGGTGTTCACCTATCTGTTTCTGCTCCCTTCCCTTTTTTCAACGTCTGGAAAAATCTGCTCACGCTTCACAGAGAAGTGAAGTGGTCTGCTTCCAAGGAGCTGTCATGTACAGTGAACAAATTGAAGAGAGAGACAATTCTAATTTTTAAATTTAAGTGTTAGCCAATGTTTCTTTTTGAAGAGCACAATGGAAAGTGGGGCATGGGTTTTTTTTTTTTTCTTCCTTCCCTAAACAGAGAAATATAAAATATGGGTTGAACTTGGACTGGTTTTTCAACATGTGTAATGCAGAAAGTATGCTTTCAGGCACCTTAAGAGCTGCCTGCCCACCTTTTGCTGTTTCAGCTGCTTTTCAGTTGAACGTGGGACTATCTCTGGTAACGTCTGGTGAGCAGCTTTTGTAGTAGACTTTTGATCCAGATCTTTCTTCTCTGTGCAGAATTCACCTTAATCACAGAAATGTGTCTGGCGTAGGTCAAAGTTCCAGTGGTTAGCAGAGCGTTCTCTGTGTTTCGGGGGGTTTTTTTGTGTGTGTCCTAATGAGGTTTTGGTTTTAAAAAAGCAGAAAGAAAGTAAATTAGACAAAAAATTACAAGTAAAAAGCATTTAGAGAAGAAATGAGCATAGGAAAAAAAAAAAAAAATCAAGAGTCTCAACCTGGAGAGCAGGAAGAAAAAGTGCATCACATTGCAAAATATCAGTGTAACCGTAGAGATTGTTTATTAGGATGTAAGATGATGGAAAGGATGAAATCCTTTGCTAAACTTGTTAAACTTCAGTTTAGATTTTCATTTGAACCTTTGGAATCTTAATGTATCAGTGTGTGTATATATACACATAAGCATATACCTCCAAAGTGCCCATGTACTCATTACATGAGGAGAATTGCTCTCTAGGCTCGCGTTTCTCTCCACTGGATGTGGAATTCAGATTTCAACCCCCGCAACTCTTTGGGCACATTGTTTTACCTGTGTTTGGACTCTCCCTGATCCAACTGATGAATGGATTACTCTGCTGAAGTTTACTTAGTGGAGGAAAATGGGCCAAAGAGCTGTGTCCGCTATGCAGCAATATGTTTTTCGGAGTGAGTTTATTCAGATATCCAGAGAATCTCTGAATTGATAAAATGATGTTGCCAACGTTGTGTTAGTGATTTCCATTGTTGCAACTGTAAATTCTGTGTGACTATTCTGTATCTGTTGTCCCTATTGTCACAGCTGAAATATTTTTTCAAACACAGTTACATATTTTTTAAAAATTTGAGTTGTGGAGTTGACAAAAAAAAAAAAAACCAACCTAATCATAACACATGTTGAATGATTTTTTTGAATTGACTGTTGTTCTTCCTGCTCTTGGACAGGTGCGTTTTCCTGGATGGTTAAATCTCAAGCCATAATCTACTATAAATTATTATTGGCTTGTTGCTAGAGCAATCTGTGATGTCTGTCTTTTTAGGACACTAGTAAATTATTTTAAGAACTCTACTTGAAAAGAATGTTCAGCATGTATTCTTTTTTTCTTCTTCTTTTTAAGTTGTTTCATGCAGTCTTTTTAGCAGACGATACTTGAACCCAGAATGAGTGTAAAATTTCTGAAAAGCCTTCCATAAAGCTGTATCCTAATGTCACAAAATAAAAGCAGAAGGCTTGCTTGTTGAATTTGTGAATGATGCATAAAGACCTTGCTTTACTTAATTTTTTAAAATCTAGATCACACTATTTTAATAAGAACAATGTGGGATAGCATGTACTTCGGCTGATATACTTCATTTTGTGCATTTTATACACTTTCAGGGCTCCTCCTGTTCTTTCGAGGGTTTGTTAATTATCTTAAAGTCAGAAATATGTCTGAAAGCATGGCAGCTGCTCACAGAACAAGATTTTTTTTCTTGTACTGAAGGTAAGCAATTTTTAGTGATAAGATTCTCTCTCCTGGGAAAACTGAGAAGAATTAAATACTTATATTAAAAATTAATAATCAAACTTCTGTCATAAAATAGAAATAGCATGTTTTTTTAAAATCTGTCATGAATGTTGTATATGTTCTACATGGACTTGGAAATACCTGAAGTCTCTTGAAGTCATGAAATTTGAAAGTAAATAATGCATCCCTGTTGCCTCCGGTCCTCCCTGGAACTAATTTTCAGTAACAAAACCGAAGAGGAACCTGTTGTTTTTCCTAAGCAAGAAACAGCATCTGCTGCCTGTCAGGATACTGTCCTTTGTGTTGGAAAACTGGCTTTAGCAGTCAACCTGTTGTCAGCAAGTTAGGAAGCACTAATCTGTCTGCATATTAAATCTGATTGACATGGGTCTGAACACGCAAACAATAGATGAGTATTGTCTCTCTTTACATGACTGGATTAAGACAGTCGTGTACAAGTATGATTATTGTGTATGCAACAGTGTGCTTTATATATCCTTCAGGTAGCTGACTAATCAGTCTGGCACATAGCCACTTTTTTTCTTAATACTTTTTATCCGTTAGGTGGATCTATTGGACTTCACTATGTAACTTAAACCGGGGGGTCTCCCTTTGTGTTCAACTTTTTTTATTTAAACAGCGTGACAAGATAATTTAAGCTTAGAAATAAGTACTGTAGCATTTTCATTACTCTGCATTTACTTAAAATACTGTACTTTGACTTAACCGAGAAGCTATGTTTGCCATAATAAAGCAGGTTTTAATAACTTTTCTCCAAGATTGGTCACAGGATCAATATGAAGTAACAAGCAACACGTTATTGAAGCCTAAAAAAACCCTGAGACAGTATTTGCCTAGAAAAAAGGGTTCCTTTTACGTAAGACATGCATTTAAAAAACAGCTAATGATAAATATCTATCCTATACTAAATCCTATATTCTGATCATGGAAGAAATGTGTTAACATAACACAGTATTTCTTTTTAATGCACCGTTTTGCCAAATTATGCAGCAAGTTAAAGTCAAATAACTAAGGTGTATATTGTCTTTTCGTAACCTACCTGAACTGGCATCTACATGTCACCATTTCCTTTTTACAATAGTTACATATTGCTCCTTTTTTTAGTAATGTGGTAACTGAAATTTGTAGAGACGAGACTGAAAATACCTGATAGCTTTCAGTACAACAAATTTTAAAAATATCATTTCAAAAGTAACTGTTAGGATTGTTAGGACTAATTGGTGTTTGAAAACTGTACCTTGAAGAGAGTAATGGGAGTGTAGGATAATGTGGTCTGGGATTCTTTGCTCTCCTACAGTTAAAATTCTGCTTTGGGACAAACCACTATTTAATTCAGCATTAACTGAAGTTAATGAGTTGTCCTGTCTGAATTCAGTGGCTTTGAATTTTTCCTTTACCTGTAAACATTACTGAGATGTATGGGCTGAGAACGTCTGTGGAGTGTTTAGAGAGCTGGATGCATAAACACTATTTTTTTGAAGCATCTTAAGTATTGAAACAAGGAGTTCAAATTAATTGCTATCACGCTTAAATGTCCTTGCTCTTGTGTAGACAGGTAGCTTCCTCTGCAGTGACTATTAGTTTTAATAAATAACAAATATTACCTCTACAGCTACAAAATATTTCCAAGTGTTCTTTTGAAATGATAACAAATAAGTCTTTGGTTTTTAGTCCCATCCTGACATGGGCAGGGGGGTGGGGGAAAGCTGCTGCTTTGCTGCTTCTAGGTTTAATGTCAGTCAGCAACGCTCCTTCTAGTGAATTGCTGCAATGAACTGAAGTACAACTCTTTCTTTATCTCCAGACTGCACCGAACAGACATTCCTTTCCTATACCAGTGTGAAACTTCCAGATGATCTGTAACCCTCCGAGTTAATAGGATAGAAGACTACTAAAACCAGAAGACAAGTTAGTGAAGATCCGGCTTCAAAAAATGAATGACGGGATGGTTTATGCTCAAGTACCAATTCTGGTCATTCTAGTAAACATTTGTAATTGCTGCCTTTTGTTTTAGCACATTTGTATATGTGCTTATTAAAAAGATAGTATTGAAGTAAGAACAAACCACCTGTTAGTATAGATTAGGTACAGTCAGACTCGGTTAATCTGTGCTTGTTGTATCTGAAAGATTTAAGTGGTAACTTGTTTCACAGCCTGTATGTACCACTGACTTGTTGATCTGAACTTTGAGTACAATGAAATGCATTAAATGATTCAGATTAACCAGTTCAGATAGGGGTTTTTTATATATATAATTTAGATTCATCTAATGATTGTGTAGAACATTTTTAAGCTTCCTAAACCTCAGAGTTCCTTGTTGTCACAGACTTGTATTTGCCAATATTTTATCAAATTCAAACCAATATGCTGGTTTGCTTAAAACTGATACTCCACTTTGATTCCCCTGTAAATAACTCTGCATAAATGACTGTTTGAATTGCTTCTTAGGAAATATGTTAAAATATATTTTGTAACAGCATATTCTCTAAATTTTGTTAATTGGCTATTAAGGGTATAGTTACTATTAGATGTAATTTTGGAGGTAAAGGCATTGAATTGTTAGTCTCATCCTAACTTTCCTCACATGAATTATTGTTAACCGGTTTGGGCTTGAGCCTGAAAATTGTTATTCATATGCATGATCCCATCAAAAGATAGAGTTTGTTCATGTTAGCAGGGACAGACAGCCTTACATCTTTAGTCCTTGGTTATGCAGTTGGATCCTCGTAGGTGCACCTTTGTTCCTGAAAGAGGGAATTGCAAATGTATTCCCTGGGTTATAGCACTGACTCTGTTTAAGAAGTCTTGAGTTCGGTATAAACACATCATTGACCCTGAGGGCTTCTCAAAAAAAATTCATATATCTATCTTACAGCGCTTGTTTAGAATACATACTGTTCCATTTCCTAAGAATAAACTGATTTAAATATAAGGTAATTTTGGAAATAATCTATGAACGTAAAAAAAAATCCTACTTTTAAAGCTCTGAAAGTAGAAAATGTGTATTGCACCTCTCCCAACATCCATTTAAGGTATACCATTACTTTCTTATAAATATCATCTCTTTAAGGGGTACTGTCTACTGTTCATGCATGTGTGGTTTCCTTTGAAGTTTGTGAAATTTATGCTTCTCCTTAAGCAGGAGAATACATCTCTCAGTCCTTTGTACAACTGGAATCTCAGTTGCAGAAATATATTGGTTGTTGGTTGCACCTTTGAGGAAAAAAAAATGCAAATACTTTCCTCCAGTTTTTCTTTTTATATTAGAATTCTGCCTTTTTATTACTAACATTAAAACCAGTGAGGTTTATGTTGTTTTAAGCTAGTGCTGTATTCGGTTTTGTATCTATAATGAATGTTTAAAATATACATATGTAAACTGGCCACATTATTCATTTTCTTAATGTTTCAGAGGTATTGAAAGCAACTAAAACTTTAGGGGCACTTCCACTTCCCAGCTTTTTATGGAAAGAATAAAATTAAGTATTATGTTCAATATCCAATTGGGATTTCCTTCTAAACTTATCTGTTTGTTTCTGTCTTCTTTTGCATTCATTGTCCATATGAAAAAGAAGCGGATAATAAAACATTGCTTTGTTTTGCTAAATAAGACTTACGCTTTTTGCCTTTTTTGTACTTCACGTTGAAAAAAATGCATACTGCAATATGCCGGCACAGAATTACAGACAAATTACTTGGCAAAATAGATACTAACCGATCCTCTCTGCTCTTTTCATCTCGTGTTTTATGGCAACGAACTGTAAGGACATTTCTTTTAGTGAGGTAATACAACTGTGCAAAGCATGCAATATTGATTCATTTTTTATGTTTACCGGTATCAGCTGGTACTATTTTCCAACTGTATCCATTTTCCAAAATTAGGTAGCAGTCTTCTGATAGAATTATTTCTGTTTGCTTCACTGCATTTTATGGGAAGCTTCATACAGATACTTGGTTTTGTTGCAGGGTTTTGGTTGTTTGGTTTTTTTTGTCTGGACTTGCTCGGAAGAATTCTCATTTGGACAGAAAGAATATGTAGGGTTAAAAATGTACACGTTATCTAATCCTCTGTAGTTGATGCAGCAGTTTGGTAGCCTGAAATCTCATCAGCAGGAGGAAGGGAATTGGGACACTGTTTTCAAAGACTCTGCAATCTATTCCAGATGTGTCAAATGCTGCATATTTTCCTTGCTATTTCCTGTGAGCTTGGTTAGTAGCAGCTGGCTCTGTGGTTTAGAGACACCTGGCCAGCTTTGCTTTGTGTCTTAGTCGGGGAGGAGGGGGGAAGCTCCAGTATCGCAGCAAAGTTGACTCTAAACAGATTTTGTATGAATGCAAATAAGGCTTTGAAGTTTGGGGCAAAAACAGCTGGGAGGGGAGGGGAGAAGGGGAGAGAAAATCCCATTTTATTTGAGCAACTTGCGTGAACGTAATTTCTTTAATTTTGTCATTACTTTTATTGATGTGGATGCCACAGGAAGATGGACGTCTTAAATATAAGTCAAGTAGCCTGTGACTCTTGTTAACAAGTTTCAAAAATGATCCGTCTCTTGCACTTCCAGTCCTCTTACAGGGAGGAGGTTGTCTCCAAGCTTTCACTTTGCTGTCTCACCTGTAGAGCACGGACACCGTCCTCATCCTGCAACGCCTTTTAACCTGGTTTCAACACCCTACGCTTTCTGGGTCTGCTTCCTTCCCTTTGAACGCTCACAACAGGTCAGGAAAAGTGGGTTTTCTTAACTTGCTGTCCTAACATCAGAAGGCTTTTAATCTCTCTTCCACTTTTTGAGACTGCTTTCCCGTAACACTCTGCATTAGTCCCTCCTGTGTGGTTGCTTGTGTTGTTCACTTGAACAAAAAGTTCGTCTCATGAAATTACTGTTGCTTCCTGGGCTTTTGAAGAGAAGGTGAATAACCTCTGGTGTGGAAATGTTAGTCGGAATGGGTATGGAAATCTGGTATGGAGATCTCTCAGGAAGGAAAGAAAAATATTTCTGATCATGCTAAAGCATGATTAGCCTATGTGCACAGCTACCTAGCAGCAGTGGAGGCCGGTGTATTGCTTGTCCTATGTATGTTGTTCTTTCCCACTGTCCCCAGATCCATTTCTTTTTCATTTATACTTCCAAGGATACTCTTACCATCTGTATCTTCTCTCCTTTGTGTATCCTTTCCACTCCCATGCCTCGTCTCCTGTCTCTGTGCACTCACTACGCACCCTGCAAGGACAGGCAGAAGGCTGCATCTTGGCTGCAGTTAATAAATAACTCACCTACCAATTTCTAAGGGTTTTTTTTTTTTTCTTAACTGCAATGATGCTTTGTGTTTTCATACGTCCATATTTTACAGGTAAGACAACTTTTCAGAATCAATGACTTTCAGACAACTGGAAATGGTTAAAATATGTGCCTGTGCCATCCACCTGTTGCAAGCATTGCATATGCGAGTGGAACTAAAACAGTGGGAGAACGTGTTTTAGTTATATTTTCCATTAGCTCCTGAAGTGTCAGTGTGATCAACTTTAAAAAATTTTCTGATATGTAATTGGTTTTGGTGTCTTTTTTTTTTTTTTCCCCCCCACCTTTCCCAAATGAAAGAAAAGTCAGCTTTCCTGCGTTTTTATCTGTGGCATATTTTCTACATAAGGAAACTTCCATGCGGTGAGGCTTAAAAGTACTGCAAACAGCATCAGCTTTCCAGCTGTTCAGGGGTTTTTTTTGTGTAAAACAGAAAGGTATATATTCAAAAAAGTTTAAAATTTTTTGGCTCTTTTGTATTGAGGGATGGTTACAGTTATCCCCATGTTTCTACATCTGTTCCTATAGTCTTCACTCTTAATTTTTCTTGTGGTCACAGCTTTCCTGCGTTTTTATCTGTGGCATATTTTCTACATAAGGAAACTTCCATGCGGTGAGGCTTAAAAGTACTGCAAACAGCATCAGCTTTCCAGCTGTTCAGGGGTTTTTTTTTGTGTAAAACAGAAAGGTATATATTCAAAAAAGTTTAAAATTTTTTGGCTCTTTTGTATTGAGGGATGGTTACAGTTATCCCCATGTTTCTACATCTGTTCCTATAGTCTTCACTCTTAATTTTTCTTGTGGTCAAAGAAACACCGTGTTTGTGGGGGTATCCTTAGTGTAATACGAGAAGTTGTTCATTGATTCTTCACTATACGTGGCTGCCCAGATGCCCATCCTTCTTAATTTTCTAGGCTGGGGTAGTCCCATGACTTCCAAATGCCCGGTTTCACATGGAACAGACTGCTGCTGCTATGAATTGTTTGTTAGTAAAGTAACTACGAAGCAAGCTTCGCTTGCATGTGTTCACTAATTGTCGTTTAATGTAATTGCTGTAGCACTGCTGGTCAGTCCACTTCTGCTGCTGCTGCTCTACGAGGCTGATGAGAGCTCGCTCCTGGAGTCTGAAGCATTAGGTGGATTTTTTCCAGTAGTAGTGACCGGGTGTTTGAGTGAAGTCCGCAGGTCTTACTGGTGGAAGCATCACTGGGATAAAGCCGGTGCTAATCACTGCGTAATTGGTAGCGTGAGCACCTGCGCCACCACTGCCTCGCTGGTCCGCTCTCCTTCGAGTCCCTAACTGACTTCTAATTAATGAATTAATTTGGCAACGCATCTTGCAACTTTCATAGAAAGGATTTTTGTCTTAAAGGGTGATGAGTTGGTTTTGATGGATCAAATTTACCTCTGTACCTCTCGGAACAAGGAACTTCTGAAGACAGCCCTATCCATCCGCTTCTCCGTATACACAGAGCAATGGGAATAATTTCTGCAGATTAAATTGATGAGCCAAATACTGCTTTTTCTACCTGAAATGTGAATCAGATCCCACTTAAAAGCTGCTGCTTTGAGGATAGTCTGGCACTGTGGTTAAGCAAAACTGGGAATTTCTATTATAAGTAATTTTCGGCAGCCAGTTGTAGTGATACTCTACTTTGGATTCTCAAGTGCTGCTGTTTTCTCAGTCAAAGCTTTGGGGTTTTGGTTATGGGGTTTGTAGGGGTTTTGGTTTTGTTTTTGTAGGAAGCTTGCAACATTTATTCCAGTTCTGCTGGCGTTCATCATAACGTGGGCATGTGCTAAATGCAAGAAACGCTGACAGCATAATCCCGTGGCTAAAAAACTTTAAGTATATGTATTCGGGAGACTTAAATGTTTCTGAATTCTGAATGAAAGCTGATGTCATGTGTTGGACTTGGCAGGTTACATATGGCTTGTCTCGGGTCTCTGCCCGATTCCTCCTCCATAAGGATGGTGAGTGCTGCTACGCGGTGTGCTCTGGGTACGTCTCGGGTCCAAGCTGAGGTTGCCGCCTGTAAAGTGGAGATTCACTGTGAAGGGAGCAAGAGAAACCAGAGGAGGAGGAGTGCTTGGACCTCTAACTCTGGGTTTGTAACAGCTGATGTAGCAGATGTTTCTGGCAAGATGGTGGGAGCACATCCGAGCGCAGGCCTCACCTCCTTCCTCCCCAGTTGACCGGCTACTTTGTGTACCTACGTAATCTGTGAAAATGGCCCCTAAGTTTTCTTTTCTTCCTGGAGACAACAGGAATAGCAAACTCTCCTCCACTTGGAGAGAGGGGGAGAGAGAGGAGGAGGTCCCAGCTGGCTGTCCATGAAGGCGCTTGGCCAGGAGTTGTTAGTCTAGCTGGCCCTGTGGGAAATGCCTCCAGCTTTTTCCCCTGCCTTGACAGCAGGAACGTGATCTGCAGCCCTGTTTTTGATTATACCAATCTGCATGGCATATGCAGCCTTCTCAACTCTTGCGACACTGAGGTTTACATTAACGAAGAGATCGGTGTCATTAACTTCGTGTTTTGTCACAAATCTCGTGATGCTGGGCAGCTTTCTTAGCAATTCACTTGGTGTGGTAGCTACACGAGGTTCAGTTTACGGTGGAAAAAAGTTTGTTCCCTCCCAACATGTTTTTTAACATGTCTTAGATAGGTGTGATGCTTTCGTGAACACTTGCTCCTGATCTTCCGTGGACTTCTCTATAACTACCTGGTACAAAGGGGTCACTGAGATTTGTGACTGGCTTCTTGGGAATTATTATTTTACTCATGAAATTTGCACTTTCTAAGAGAAACCACTGCTTACTAGAAATGTTATCTATCCAGTTACAGCAACAGCTGTGGGAGGGCCATAGCCCAGAACACTAATAGTTCTTACTAATAGTGTCTAATGTAATTCATTATTTCAGTGAATGAAAAATTTCAAGTACTGTGTTAAATTTTTCATCTTGGAGTATTTTTTTTACTTGCTTCTAACATTGATTTTTACATTTAACTTGTATGAAGCTTTTTTCCTTTGGGGGATGTAGACAGCTAAAGGGTGAACCTTGTAGTTCTCAAAGGCTCGAGTCACTTAATTTGGTTGTTCTTTGAGGGCTGTGCCTCTTTGAACTGTGAATGTGAAAATGACTTAGGGAGGTTTCAAGAGCAATGAGTTATCAAGAATTTAAGAATCAAATTGATCAAGGCAGCACAGACAAGAAAGCAAAAGAAAAACAAACAAAAAAATCAGTCTTTCAGCTTTTTGACTTTCAT